TTAATCCGAATGGCATCACAATAAATTCAAAATGCCCATAACGCGTTCGAAATGCCGTCTTCGGAATGTCGACATCTCTAATCCTCAACTGATGGTACCCCGTGCGCAAATCTATCTTGGAATAAACCCGTGCCCCTCTCAGCTGGTCAAACAAGTCATCAATACGTGGCAAAGGGTACCTATTCTTGATAGTGACCCTATTCAATTGCCGATAGTCAATGCAGAGCCTAAGCGTCCTGTCCTTCTTCTTGGCAAATAGTACCGGAGCACCCCAAGGTGAAGTACTCGGCCTAATAAAGCCTCTGTCCAATAACTCTTGTAACTGGACTTTAAGTTCTTGCAACTCCGCTGGTGCCATCCTATGCGGTGCCATAGAAATAGGGGATACACCGGGCTGTAACTCTATAGTGAAATTTACCTCCCGATGCGGTGGTAACCCTGGTAACTCATCCGGGAAGACATCCGCATAGTCACACACGACTCGAGGCAGACCCAATTCCTGTCTCTCCTCGTCCTCCAGTGTAAGGCTAGCAAGCCAACCTATCAATTGCCCGTGCCATCGGGAGTCATATACGGCATGGGGTAAGGCATTGTGTTTCTCCCCCTGAAACTTGAAACAAATCCCGTCTAAAGTGTAAGCTGTAACCCTCTTACGCTCGCAATCAATGACGACTTTATGTGCCGCCAACCAATCCATCCCGAGTATGACATCGAACTCCGTCATCTCGATAACCCTAAGGTCAACAGTAAGTTGGGTTCCTTCGATCTCCAACTCACAACCCCGACATATCTTGTCAATACAAACTCTGTCTCCTAGGGGTGAACTCACATACATGGGCTCATCCAGAGTCTCGGCCTCTATACCCAAGTCTCGTAGGCATGATGTAGCAATAAAAGAATGTGATGCACCAGAATCAAATAATATTTTTGTCCATAATCTAGAGAGAAGAAATGTACCCTGAATTACTGACTGATCTGCCGGTAAAGTCTGTGGTGTGATGGCGAAGACTCGCCCCTGGGTCCCTGAAGTCCCGGCCTGAAAGCCCTGTCCCCGGCCTCGGCCCATGCCCTGGCCTGACTGCGGAGTCCCCGCTCGTGAAGTGGTAGGGGCCTGTGCCGTACCCTGAAATTGCAACTGATTTCCCTGTCCCCTGGTGGGGTAGGGAGGAATGAAGTAGGTCTGTGGATGCCCCACTGATGATTGGGACTGAGATGCCCCGTAGCTCTGTGATCCTTGCCTCTGAGGACATTCTCTCTTCAAGTGTCCTGGCTGGTGACAGTAGTAGCATATCCGTGGGCCTCCCTGTTGTGTACCCGTGGAATTCTTCCCGCCTTGGGAAGATTGACCATAACCTTGGCCTTGACCCTGATAGCCTCGACCCTGTCCCTGTGATCCCTGTGGGGTAGAAATCCTCTGTCTCTTCCCCGAGCTAGTAGTGGAGGACTGTCCCTCCTTCTTCCTGTCCTTTGATCCAGCCTCCCGAATCCTCTTGGCATCTTCCACCTCTCTCTCTATAGCCATGGCTGTCTCGACCATCTCATCAAATTCGTGCAACCTGTGGCCAACAATCTTCCCGCGGATGGATAGCTTTAGGCCATTTTCAAACCTCCGTACCTTGGCCAAATCAGTGGCCACGTAGTCATCCGCAAAACGTGCCAATTCTGTGAACTTGGCCACGTACTGCATAACCGTCATCGCTCCTTGCTTCAAGTTTAGAAATTCATGGGCTTTGACTTCCCGAACAGCTGGTGGGAAATATTTCTTCATGAAGAGTTCTTGAAACTCTCCCCATGTCATCCTTCCGATGTCTATCGGCTTTGCCCATGTCCACCATTGATGGGCGTCTCCCTCAAACTGGAAAGTGGCCAATCGTATCTTCGTGGCATCAGATACAATCTCCATAGCTTCCAAAATTTTGTCCACCTGTTGGAACCAATTATCAGCTACCATCGGATCCCCTCCTCCTACAAAAGTTGGTGGGTTGTGGGACCTAAACTTCTGCAGGTTGTTCGAGCCTCCTTGGCCCACATTAGAACTGGCTTGCAAAAAGGTGGCGGTCATCGCGCCCATAGCCTCCATAAAGGCTTGTTGATCGAAAGCCGGTGGTGGTGGTTGGTTGTTTCGTCCACCCCGACGTCCCCTTCCTCTTGTTGCCATCTACACACACATAAGATAGCAATAGACCAATAACTTAGTATCCCAAAGTTAGGGATCAAAGTTAAAACAGTAGAATATATACCTATCGGTAAATGTGCAAACAATAGGCTTACACATCCTTTTCCTTCCCAACTCATGGTTTCTAACCATAGTACCTCATTCCTATATACATTTAATCATGCATATAATCTCATAACACATAGCATGAAAGATTTAATACATTTAACATGCAATACAAACTGGAAGCAATGACTTAAACCCATGCCCTGTAAGCCCTAGGTAAATCGTGAACCTAGGCTCTGATACCAAATTGTGACACCCCAAAGTCCGGGTGTCTGTAATTATCCGATTGGTTATCCATCGACCTGTGTAATACTGGTGGATATCGTGTAATTTGATACCACACCGTTATGCCCCATTTCTTGGGATCCATAACTTAACAAAATTTGGACAGAGTCTCCTTTGTACAAGGAGCTCTACTCAAAACGCAACCTGTACAACATTGACCACACCGGGTCTATCTATCCATTCACAATTGTATAGTCTCGAATACTACCATAATCATTATCAGTACATACATTTATTCGTAAAAGAATAAATGTCCCAAAAGAGTCCCATATACATGCCTTTGTAAATATAAACAATGTTTGTTACAAAAATTATACAAGGCCAAAAGTAAGTATAAACAAGGGACTACAATGTCAAAATAAAAGCCACAGACCGGCTCTGTCGTCAAAGCGGGCCCATGGCCTCGCCTTCGGTGGAAGCCTGTGCGATACCTGAAAAATGTTCCCATAAAGGGTGAGCTAACGCTCAATAGGGTAACTCCTATAGAGAATACCTCTCAACCTAAATGAATATGGAATGTCACATGCAACAATCATTTGATACATTCATTTAAATATGTCTATTATGATTGAATGTTATAGATCATGTCATGCCATGAGATGAGACTCACGCAAGCAATACCAACCCCGAGCCCCATCCTGAGCTCCCATAACACATGCAATGTCATGCGTATGTATCCGAGCATTCCAAGCCCCCATCATTGGTGTTATGTACACTCAATGCTAATTAATTCATTTTCTTGTGTCTTTGTGGGGAGATGATTTATGGTATTACACCAATGGGACACCAACCATCAACGGATCTTCAGGACATCCCACCTGCGGCTCCGTTTCCGCCGTTACACTTTTTTGGAATTTCACCGCCGGAAAGTGTATAAACCAAGTAAGCGGGTCTTGCACCCGAGGGAGAATCTAGCCCTTCGTGCTGTCCCCAACACATTTATCCATTTAATTTCTCGTGCGACTCAACCGAACCTTGGTGCGACTTTTCCGAGTCCACGTTCAACCACCTACGTGGTGATTGATTTCATACCATGCATACACTCTCACCCATGTCAATGCCCATGAATGTAGTGCAACCCATGCATAATGAAATACAATGTAATGACATTTTAACACGATCTCAAGCATGTTATGTAAGATAATCAACTCAACTAACATACTTGTATTCACCTAGGCATTTAATCAAACACCTAAAGAGCACATCAATTTACACAACTAGCATGCTATGACTTGCAACATGATAACATGTTTAACATAAGCACAAAGTCCACCAAAATAATCATATGTTAAATAATCATTTAACATATATATATTATTTCACAATCATATAACAAGTTAATAATTTTATTAAACTTGATCTGCCATTAAAATATAAAGTAATGCTAACATACAATTAACATGCTTTAAACTACTAACATTAACTTACACCAAGTTAATCACAATAGAATTTTATTAATCACAAGATTAATTATAAATTCTATATTTGACCCACTAGTCAAGACCTAACATGTGATATACACTCATAATCTACTCATTCCATATGTCATATTTTAAGTTGAAATTAAATCTAAATAGGGGAAACCCTACCTCTCGTAGCGTGAGACCACTTACAAGAACACCAAGGAAGCCCAAATTTAGCTTCCTAAGTTTTAGGTCTGGATTATCGGCTTTGAGATACCTTCGAAGAAAAATACGATCTTTGGTGTGGTTGCGTAGCTCTCGCTGAGTAGAGCAACTTTAGTTCTTGGCCCGAAACGATTAAACGGTTAAATTTTCCTAGATCTGAGAAGGAAGAAAAGAGAAAAAAAAATAAAAACTCTCTTTTTTTTTTCTCACTCACTCTTTCTCGCCGGCTGTAGAAGACACAACAAGTGGAAGACTTTGTCTTCCACTTATATATATATATATATATATATATATTATTTTTTTATTATTTACGTTTTTGACCCATAATTTAACAATTAATTATTATTTTACCCTTTTATTTTTATTAGGATTATTTTACCCTTTTATTTTTATTAGGATTAATAATATTAATAATATATATATATTTTTTTTTATCGGGTTTTACACCTCTTGTGGGCTGGACTCATTGGATCTCGTCTAGTTGGGTTCTTTATTCAAGCTGGGCTTATAACTTGAGTTGGGCCCTTAGGTCTGGCCCATCATTTGTCCCCCATTGCCTCGAGTTTAATAAAACTTGGAGAAGAGGGCATTTATTTGAATTTAGATTCTGGCTGACAGAGACTCCTTTTGACTAACAACCTCTTTTCCTTCCGGATATAGTTCACCTCTGTAGGACGTCTCCAGCTATATAAAATCCTCCATTTTATTTCCTATTAGAATTTCAAAAAGCCCTAGGCTATAGATTGGGAGTTCTTTCCACTTCGTTTCATTCATTTTGGGAGAGGATTCCTTTTTGAGAAACTTAAGAACCCAAGTTGGATAGTGAGACTGGATATCTTGTTCCTGAGATAAGTGTTCAAAGATCAATGTTGAGTGGAGGAGAAATGATGCCAAGGTCCATTGGCATGGACATCAATGGCGATGGACCAATTGGTGCTGAGGCAGGTGGTCAAGCGGTCGCTGACACAGTGGTGACCAAAGGAGAAGGCAACAGAGCATGTGCTCAGGAGGGCATCGACAAGGCAGGGGTCACCGTAGGCATTGTCGAGGCTAGGTCCATCGCGGTCATCGAGGACGAAGAGGGGAATCAGATAGGTCCTGGAGTTGAGGCGCCAAAGATGCGTGTAGGTTGCTCAGATGGGTGAAGACGCATAGGTGCCGTTGGCTGTCAATCTTGGAAATGGCGTCGCGAGGGAGGTCGAAAAGACTCGGGATGGCGAGCATGCCATAGCAGGCACCGATGGTGGATCAGGCGACGTCCCAGGGGCGGGCGAGCGCTCGAGGGGTTGGGCGCGATCAGGCGGCGCCATGCTTAGCTGGGTCATCGTCATTGGGTGAGCCAAGTGTGGTGGCTATGGACACCAGGCATGGATCTTCGTGAGTGCCAGAGGAGGGTTTGCCGGGTATTTTTGGTGGCAATGATTCCAATCAAATGGTGATCGACATGGTTCTTTCAGATGGAACTCCATGGAGTCAGATCCCTCAAGGCTATCCTAGCAGTGGCCCAAGCAATGTTTTTCTTCGCCCTCGCAATAACAAACATCGAGGAAATGTAGTTTTTTATAACGACAGATCCAAAGTAAATACCATTTCTAGTATCCTCAACGCTGATGCTGATATTCTGCAAATTGTTTCTACTTATAAAATTCTTCAAACCGTGATGTGTCGTCGAGCTGAAATGGGTGAGCCTACTTGTGATGGCTCATCTGGAGACATTTCCATTTATGAGGAGATGCTTGAGGCTAGGCTGAGGTTCCCAATGGCTTCTTCTATTTTTTGCATTTTCCATTACTTTTCACTTGTGCTCGGGTGATTGGTGCCCAATGGTTAGAGAGTTTTGCTGGGATTTCTGGCACTGTAGAGAAAAGTGTATCATGAGGATGCTTCTCCTAAAGATTTTTGTATGGCTTATACTTTGAGTGAGACTCTTGTTCCTAATCGTGGCTGGTACTACTTCGCTCTGAAGGGAGGTAAATTGATTATTGGATTGTGTTCTAATTGTCATAGCTGGAAGGCTCATTTTATGTTTGTTGGTGGAGAATGGACTTCAGAGACTGACAAGGCTTTGGTACCAGCAAGGTGGGATACTCCCAAAAGAATTGGTATGCTCTCTCTTTACTCTTTTTCCTTTGCCTTTTTTGGAGTGTGTGCTCATAACATTTCTTCTAGGCTCCCCGGTGCTCTCAAATGACCAAGAATGGAAATTACAAGTTGTGAAGGCTCACCCTGTGAAGGATTTTGGAACTCTCATGCTCAAAGAGGGTGGAACTAGAGACTTTCCTATTGGAAGTGTTAGGGTTGGTGCACCCTCTCTGAGGCCTGGTAGTTCCTCCTTAAAGAGAAAAGGTATGCTGATGCCCTTGAATTTTTGTTCTTTACTTAGTTTTGCTTTAGGATAACACTTTATCCCACCGCAGTGGATAGGACAGTGGTAGAATCCCGTTATTTCACTAGAGGTAATCCTCCTCCTAAGGTGGCGAGGGTGAACAATGCTTTGGCGAGCCCCTCTCAAATGACACCTCTTATGGTATCTCCCTAATCAGTGACTCCTTCAAAGGTGACCGCCACTCCAGAGACTCCCCAAGCAGTCATACCTCTTACCCCCTATTCATCGACTCCTCCTACGAAAACTTCTACAAGGGCAGCCACTAAGATTGTCTCCATGCTGGGTGATGTGCGGATTGTCAGGGAGTGACTTGGGAGATTTGTGTTTCCAATAGACATCAATCAGGTTGGTGCTTAGGGCGCTGAGGGCATTATCAACACTAATTTGGAAAGTCTGGCCTAGGTAAGGGTCTGTTTTCTCTCTTGCTCTTGTCCGTCTCTTAAATACTGACATTCCTTTATCTTCCTTAGGTTTCAATTACGTCTATGTGCCTTTTTTCGAGGGCTGTCCAATTTAACCAGCTAAGCTCAACTGTTAGGAGGGAAAGGCTCGCTCATGATTCTGTAAAAAATGAGCTTCTTGTTGCTCAAGGGAGGATTGCTAAGCTTGAAGCTAATGGTAAGGCTTTCCAGGCTGAGTTTCTGGCGACCCATGAAAAGGTCGCGCTTAGAAAGACTGCTTACATGAGGGCCAAAGCNTTCTGGCACTGTAGAGAAAAGTGTATCATGAGGATGCTTCTCCTAAAGATTTTTGTATGGCTTATACTTTGAGTGAGACTCTTGTTCCTAATCGTGGCTGGTACTACTTCGCTCTGAAGGGAGGTAAATTGATTATTNCTTGTGGCGACCCGCGAGAGAGCTGCTAAGCTCGAGGCAGATGGTGAGGCTGCCCGCTTGAGAGTGGAAGCAGAATTGAAGGCAGCTCTTGAGAGAGTTTATCGGGTTGAGGCGGATCTTCAATTGGCTCATGAGAGGCCACCAAGGCTAAGGCTGATTCAGAGAGTGGTCTTGCAGATGCCTTCATTGATGGCTACGAGGAGTTTTGGGAAAAGATTTCTACTGCTTTCCTAGACATTGAATNCCAAGGCTAAGACTGATTCAGAGAGTGGTCTTGCAGATGCCTTCATTGATGGCTACGAGGAGTTTTGGGAAAAGATTTCTACTACTTTCCTAGATATTGACTTTTCAGGCTTTGTGTCGTATGAGGCACCTGATGATGTTGATGGTGATGATGGTGACTCTAACAATGTAAAGGATGAGAACGAGGAGGATGGTGGCCATGAGAACAGTTAGAGTGCTGGGGACTTTCTTTTTATTTTTGTAGGAAGACAGTGTGTAGCCTATATTTGTAAAAGTGATTTCTTACCACTGATGTTCACTTGAAATAGAATGCAAGGAACTTTTTGAAGTAAATTTAAAAAATTTTATTTGATGATTGCTCATGCTAAGCAATGGTGAGTAATAACCCAAAAAAGGTACAAGAAAAAATAAAATCAAGCTCCTTAGCTTTATTATTTCTGCCCTCCTTAAGTGTCATTGATAGTACCTCTTCAGATGCTCGGCATTCCATGGATGGTGTAAGACTTTTCATTCAGAATTCTGGACCCTGTAGGTGCGTGGGCTCATTATTTCTGTGATGAGGTAAGTTCTTTTCCAATTTGGTCCAAGTTTCCCTTCCCGTGAATCCTTTGTAGCAAGGATTACTTTCTTGAGAACCAAGTCTCCTAGTAAGAAGGAACAAGACTTCACCATCGAGTTGTAGTATCTCGCTATATGGCGCTTGTACTCCGCGTTTCGGACCATAGTCATTTCTCTTTCCTCCTCTACTAAGTCGAGATTGATGTGGAGTCCTTCCTTATTAGTGATGGGGTCATAATGTTGGACCCTTAGGGAATGTATCCCAATCTCCACAAGTATAACTACTTCGGTTCCAAAGGCGAGTGAGAAAAGAGTTTCTCCCATCGGGGCTCTTGGCGTCGTTCGGTGGGCCCACAATACACCCAGGAGTTCGTTTATCCACAGGTCCTTTGCACTTTCTAGCCTCGTCTTTAGGTTACATAGTATTATTCTGACTATGACCTTTGCTTGTCCGTTTGCCTGCAGGTGCTCCGGGCTAGAATAAGGCTGTTTTATTTGGAGGTCAACGTAAAACGAGTTCATGAGTCTCTTGTCGAATTGCTTGGCGTTGTTACTGACTATGGTGTTGGGTATTCCAAAGTGACAGACTAGGTTCTTCCAAATGAAGTCCTTGACCTTTGTGTTTATTATCTTTGCCAAGGGTTCGGCCTCCGCTCATTCTGTGAAGTAGTCAATGGCTACTACCACAAACTTGCACTGCCCTCTGCTCAGAGATAGGGGCCTAGAATGTCGATGCCCCACTTGAAAAAGGGCCATGGACTTGTGATAGCTGGCAATTCCTCTGGTGGCTGACTAGGCNGTATAACTACTTCGGTTCCAAAGGCGAGTGAGAAAAGAGTTTCTCCTATCGGGGCTCTTGGCGTCATTCGGTGGGCCCACAATACACCCAGGAGTTCGTTTATCCACAGGTCCTTTGCACTTTCTAGCCTCGTCTTTAGGTTACATAGTATTATTCTGACTATGACCTTTGCTTGTCCGTTTGCCTGCAGGTGCTCCGGGCTAGAATAAGGCTGTTTTATTTGGAGGTCAACGTAAAACGAGTTCATGAGTCTCTTGTCGAATTGCTTGGCGTTGTTACTGACTATGGTGTTGGGTATTCCAAAGTGACAGACTAGGTTCTTCCAAATGAAGTCCTTGACCTTTGTGTTTATTATCTTTGCCAAGGGTTCGGCCTCCGCTCATTCTGTGAAGTAGTCAATGGCTACTACCACAAACTTGCACTGCCCTCTGCTCAGAGATAGGGGCCTAGAATGTCGATGCCCCACTTGAAAAAGGGCCATGGACTTGTGATAGCTGGCAATTCCTCTGGTGGCTGACTAGGCACAATAGCGAAGTGTTGACACTTGTTGTATTTCTTGGTGAGCTCCTATGCATCCCTAACCATGTTAGGCTAGAAGTTGTTTCCACAAACTCTTTCATAAATCTCTAGTAGGGCATGTTAGCTTCCTCTAGGTAGAGACAGTGTAGTAGTGATAGGGAGTAGCCCTTTTTGTATAGGATGTCATGTAAGATGGTGAACTTGGAGGCTCTCATTCTAAGTTTCTTGGCTTCCAACTGGTTATCTAGTAGGTACCTTCCTAAGGTATGCCCTAATTTGGGTCATCTAGTTTGACTCGGTAGATGTGTAGTTGTGGCTTCCTCATCTAGCCTTCTTGGTCCGAACTGGTGACCGATGAATTCTAGTGTTGGTGGGGCTTCCTAGGATGAGGTGATTCTGGTTAGCGTATCTGCAGTGATATTGTCTTCCCTCAGGTTGTGATGGATTTAGAAGCGGTGGAACTTAGTCAACAAGACTTGCACCATAGCAAGATACTCCTGTATTTTAGTTCCTTTTGCTTCAAACCCCCCTTTTAACTGGTTGACTATTAATTGTGAGTCACTGAAGATGTCGAGGTGTTGGGCCTCTATTTTGACTACTAACTTTAGGCCAGAGATGAGGGCTTCGTATTTTGCTTTATTGTTGGAGGCTGCAAAGTGAAACTTTATGGCATACTTGATTAGAGTGTCATCAGGGTTGATCAGTATCAGGCTTGCTCCACCTTCTTCCCTAGTCGAAGAGCTATCAACATAAAGCTTCCAAGGAGGTGGCAAAGAGGGAGCGTTGGAGGCCGTGGTGGGTGCCTAGATGCTAGGATGCCTTGGGCGCCAATTTGTTCTACGCGCCCGGGCTAGGCGCCTGGGTGGCTAAGGCATTTTTCTGGGGCGCCTGGGTCTCTGGTTGAAATGCTGATGAGGGTTCCTAGATGTTTGGTGGAGATGCTAAAGGTTGACTATACTCTTCTTCCGCTGGTGTGAGTTCAACAACAAAGTTGCCAATACTTGTGCTTTAATAGTTGCTCTTGGTTGGTACTGCACACC